GCAGAGGGTGGGGTGAGAACTGGGTGGAGGGGAGCTTTGGGGGGAAAAAAAGAGGAACAAATGTAATAATCTGAACAATAAAGATTTAATTTAAAAAAAAGATACCAATGGCATATTTCACAGAACTAAAACAAATATTACAAAAATTTATATGGAGCCACATAGACCTCAAATAGCCATAGCAATCTTGAGAAAGATCAAGTTCTTTGTTAATATCAGCTACCTAAAATCAACTATACTACAAGGCCATAGTAATCAAAACAGCATGGTACGGCAAAGTTCTTTGTTGATATCAGCTGCCTGATATCAACTATACTACAAGGCCATAGTAATCAAAACATCATGGTATGGCATAAAAGCAGACATATAGACTAATGGAACAAAATAAAGAGCCCCCAAATAAACCACACTTATATGCTCAATTAATAATTGAAAGGCAAAAACATACAATGTGGTAAAAGCAGTCTATTTAACATATGGTGTTAGGAAGAGTAGATAGCCACAGGCAAAAAAAAATGAAACTAGACCACCATATACAAAATGAAACTCAAAATGGATAAAAGACTTAAATGTAAAACTCAAAATCATAAAAATCCTAGAAGAAAATATAAGTAGCAAAATCTCAGACATTTCTTAGCAATATTTTTTCTGATATAGCTCCTCAGGCAAGGGAAACAAAGGAAAAAAATAAACTAATGGGACTGTGTCGAACTAAAAAGTTTTTGCACAGCAAAGGAAACCATCAAAGAAATGAAAAGACAACCCACTGAATAGGAGAACATATTCACCAATGATACATCTGATAAGGGGTTAATATCTAAGATTTATAAAAAACTTATAAAACTCAACACCAGAAAAACAAACAATCCAATTGAATATGGGCAAAAGACCTGAATATACACTTCTCCAAAGAGAACATACAGATGGCCAACAGAGAGAAATTCACAGATGTATGAAAAGATGCTCAATGTCATTAATCATCAGAGAGATGCAAATTAAAACCACAATGAGATATCACCTCACACCTGTCAGAATGGCTATCATCAAAAAATCAACAAAGAGTATTGTCAAGGATGTAGAAAAAAGGGAACCCTTGGGCACTATTTGGGGGAATGCAGACTGGTGCAGCCACTATTGAAAACAATATGGACTTTCCTCAAAAAATTAAAAATGAAACTGCCTTTGACTCAATGATTCCACTTCTGGCAATACTAGTATATCCAAAGAAACCAGAAACACCAATTCACAAGAACGTATGCACCCCTATGTTCACTATAGCCAAGATTTGGAAGCAGCCAAGTGCCCATCAGCTGTATAAAAGTCGGAGTTCTTACCCTTTGTGACAGCATGGATAGACCTGGAGGTGTTAAGTGAAATAAGCCAGTCAGAGAAAGACAAGTAACATATGATTTCACTTATATGTGTAATCTTATGAACAAAATAAACTAACAACCAAAATAGAAACAGACTTACAGAGAACAGATTGACAGTTGTCAGAGGAGAGGGAGTTTCGAGGCTGGGTGAAATTAGTGAAGGGATTATGGGGGAAAACAAACAAAAACAAAAAAAACCCTCAGACAACCTTATGATGATTACCAGAAAGAAGGGGATGGGGGGAGGTAGAAGAGGGTATATAGGGGATAAATGTTGATGGAAGGGGACTTGGGGATGGTGAACACACAACACAATATACAGATGAGGCATTATAGAATTGTACTCCTGAAACCTATGTAATTGTATTTACCAATGTCATTCCAATAAATTCAATAATGAAATAAAACTATGTACATATGTGAAAACAATTTTAAATGTTTCTCTAAAGGTACTGAAACCACCTGTCTGAAAGCATAATGCCTCAAACATCCAGGATGCATTTCTCAGAAAGTATTTGGCAGGGGCAGAGGGGGAGGATTTGCTATTTTGTTGATATCCCTTAAGTGGGAACCATGTGACCTCTTGTGTTCAAAGGAAAAAGAAATAGGCTTCCTCACTTACTAGCTGTTTGACCTTGGGAAAATAACTACTAACTGTGGTAATTAGGAAAATTACCCATCTAAATCTATATTTCCTTTCTATAACATAGAGGCAATAATAATACTGATTCTATAGGATTGTTACAAGAATGAAATAAAATCATGCCCATAAAGTGCTTTGCACAGTGAATGTCAAACAAAGGGTAAATGATGGCATGATTATTACCATCACCATCATGAGTATCGCTACTCAAGGCATTTGAAAATGAATTAAAATGGTGATAGAAAGTTACAAAGGGCACAATACATCGCGAAGTCACTTGGGAAATGCAGAAATATAAATGGAAGAACATGTACAACAAAGAGTGATCCTAAGTGAAGTGCACTCAGAACTCATGTCTGGTTAAATAACAGGCTTAAAAACCATAAATCGGAATGCCGTTATTTCAGAAAGAAAAGGAAATAACATAATATATCTTTTTCATCTAAAGATATTGAGCATCAAATATTTTAATTCCTCCCAGGAACCACTACTAGAGAGAATAGAGTTTACCAGAGTAATTGGGACATATGAAAATGGAAATGTAATCTTTAGACCTCCCAATTGTTTTCGAAGTTTTTCCTAAAAGAAGATCACCTTGGCAGTGAGCTCCACATGGCAAAAACCAGTACACAGCCTCAGCCTGTGCCGCAGTAATATATTTCTCTACTGGGCCCTTTAAAAAATTGTATCATTTCTGTTTAACTGTAATTTGGTTGTTACCTTCCTTTGGGGGGACTCTAATTATTTCTCTGTTTCAAACATTAAAAGACCACATTTGAGGCCTTCCGCAGGCATTACTTGGTATTCTTTTCATCCATAGGAATTTGCCTTCTTTTTAGCTTGTCTGCCTCACACATGAAGTTCAGGACATCATAGACTGTTGCAAACTAGCTCTACAGACGCTTTGACAAAGTGTCTGCCCCTCAATCCTGTCTGCTCTGCCTTCTTGGATTATATCTTTTATTTAGCACTCACTTCATAAAGACTTACAAATGAGGTGTGGCCTGGTGCTGGGAAGATACACACACAATAAGGCCTGTCCTTTCCTGCCTGGAGAAAAATTCGGCTACAAAGAATCCTAGTCTGTAGTCACTACCACCAGGATACTTAGGGATGAGGCAGCAAGGGGAGTAAGGAGTAGAAAGTCTGTGTCTTGGAGCAGGGCTGATAAATAAAAGCTTCAAAAAGATCCAGGATCCTTTCACAAAGTAGAGAAGAAATGGGAGACAGAAGAGGTGTAGAGAGGATGAAGAACTGTTACCCAGAGGAAAGTGGAGCATATCACATCTATAATAAAAGTCAATTTAGCTGACCCCACTTAGCACACTGAGGAGGCATGCCAGTTGGCTTAAGCACATTTTGCACTTTTATTCTTTCAGTTTATTGTGACTTGCATTTTGCTTTTCCATATACAGACTTTCTCTGTATATTATACACAATGCAAATAGAGTCTCACAGTAGTTCCAAAAGGGAGGGAACATTATCATTAGCAGGCATTGCCAGCATCCACACACTGAGGACAAGTAGGTCATCCCCACAGAAGATGTCTGACCTGTTCTGAGATGGATTCCACAAAAGCATAGACTGTCTGGGATCTGAAAAGGATCAAGACCCATTGATGACTCAGAGGACATTGTCCATCATTTGCTGCAATCGCCAGGGACTTCGTCCTGTGTGCACTCACTGAATTCCCTCATACAAAGTGCACTTGTCTTGCTAGGATATTTCTGTAATTATAGTTACACACAATAATGCATAACTTTACACCTACTTTCCAGGAGTGTATAAGGCCACTCTTATTTATTCTCTCTGTAATTTCAATATTTACTCTGTGGTCAGGCTTTTCAAAATCTGCATCTGGACGCAGTTTGTGGGCCTCACACTCAGAAGGGCCTCACTTCCTTGCTGTTTGCTGAATTAAAATGTTTGATAATTTTTATTAAGGGTTTCCACATTTTCATTTTGCACTGAGCCCAAAAAATTACATAGTTGGTCCTGTCTAAGGACTAACTGCTTCGAGTTGAATTTCCATCAAGCCCTGTCTCTGCACCTGGGATTGGAACCATTACTGAATGGTTCTGAGTAGCTTTTGGTTATAGTGATCAATTTCACATTTATTCCTTTGGCAGGTGACTGTCACGAGCCAAAAATTCAAGCAATCCAAAAACACTTTGCCCTCTGATTACAAACAACTGGTTCAACCAAAAGTTAAGCTTTGGCCTTGGCCACCTGTTACATCCTGACAAGCGTACAGACAGGCTCCTGCCCATTCAAGCCTCCTTCAAGTTTATAAACAGTACCATCCCCAAACACCGGTTCATAAAATTTCCTGTTCTGCAAACTTGATGTTACTCAGTATTTAACAATTTCCTTAGCATTGCTTCATTAAGGGTGTGTGGAATTGTATCAGATGTAATAAAAGTCAAGCCCTGTAATTTCAATTATTAAACACTTGTACCAGAGCCCGTAGGCAAGCGGCTAAGTGGCTCTACCTGAACTGCTGAAGTAGCAGCTGGGGTGCCCAGAAAGGAGGGAGATTGTGAAATTACGTTCTCAGCCACGACAGATTTGAAAGGGCCCTCCTCAAGCTGAGTGACAAAAGTGCTCTGTAAACTGTGCATTTACCTGGGGACATCTCATCACACACTTCATTTTCTACCTGTTCACAGTAGGTCCTGACACAGAACTGTTATACGGTTGGAAAGAATCATTGGCCACTCGCTCTCTGGAGGCCAGAGATCAAGTGTCCCTCTACACATGCCCATCAGCTGGCATGAACATATTCTCTCCTTTAGACCTAAAGACCATTCAGACACTCCATTGTATGCACAGGTACAGAGAGCACAGAGAGGGAAGAAAGTTGGGGAGTGGTGAGGTATGCCTCATCCTTATTCATGACTATGAAGAACACACACCTTTTTATTTCTCTCCTGGTCTTTCCGAAGTCATCTTTAGAGACTGAGTTTCAAATGTGATCTTTATTTCATTGCTTAGAACCAGAGATTATTAATTTATGGCCTCACTCAAATTCACATTAATTTCAAACTGACAGCATAATCCAGCCACACTGTAGTGTGTACAATAGAAATTCTGACCAGAACAGGCCAGGGCTGGGCAGGGATTCATGGAAACAGGCAGCCATGGTCTCATTCAGCATCCACATTAGCACAAATTCTTGAAAGTAGCTACTCCTATGCCTGGGTGAAACCCCCCTCACAGTCCTTCAAATTGCACATTCACAGCACTCAAAACAATAAATATATGCCACATAGTTTCTGCAATAATAAACAACTTTCTAGCCCTCCCTTAGGCACTAGGGCAGCCTTTATTTTGCAGGTATATGATCCCTAACTTTAAGTTGCTCTTGGGAAAACAAAGAGTATAAATCAAATTTCTCATTTTGAAACTTACCTCTCCACATTCAGAAATTCTGAATTTTTGTTTCAAATTCATCAGTGAGAAATATTGGTCTATGCAAGCTCATTCTGGAAATCTTAAAGATGTTTTTATTGCCCACACCCCACATCTAAACAGAACCTAAGGCCCACTTCCTTCAGCAATCTTTGGTGAACTGCCTAGCACTCTCTCCAAAGAAGTAACACATTCTTCCTCTTTCCCTTCTGAGGACTTTCAAAACTTGATAGTTACATATTCCATTCACTTACATAATAAATATTCATCAAGCACTCATACTGTGATAGACACTGAAGGAAACAGGATTTGCCCCAGTCCCTGCCTGCCAGGTACCCAGAGTCAGTCTGAATGAGGCCTTTGAGGGCCTCTGAGCTCCCTGAAACTCAAGCTCCAGCCTGTGCTGCTGCCTTGTTCCAAATGCATATTGTTGACTAAATCCAATGGGTACTTCATTTTATAAATAGGACTATCTCATTGATAAAGGCATTCCAAAGTCAAAGGGGTAAGTCAGGCATGCTATCCTTTGAGCTGCAGCGGGCCAGGGAGAGGTCAATGGGGGGAAAAGGAGACATATGTAATACTTTAAACAATAAAGAATTTTAAATAAATAAATAAATAAATAAATAAATAAATAAATAAATATCACTCTGATAACCTGCTCTGAAAAATATTTCCTCCTGCTGATGGATATATTGCCAAGATGGGAAATGTGAACCTCTTTCACATTTTGCTGCCTCAGAAATGGCCACAGGCTCTGTTGTAATTTGTTGAGGCACAGGTCTGCTTGCACCAAGGGCTTGACAGAGCTTATTAACGCCAAAAAACACTGCTCTCCTTCTCCAGCCTGTGGGAGCTAAATGTCACTGATAGGGCTATCTGGGTTGTTAGGGGAAACTGCACCTGTCTCACTTTCCTAGAATGCAGCTAGGTACAAATATCCAGGAGCAACAATTCATCTTTTCAAATTACAGAGCCCAGGAGTGGGAGTGGAGAGAATACAGCTGCTACAAGAGAATCACAGCTGAAAACCTGACTTGAACACAGCAAGGGAGAATTGTTGGTGTTTAGCTTAAAATTTCATCTGAGCAGAGGCCACAAATACTCAGCAGGCTGCAAGGGCTCTATGCAGCATCTAATATATTATTAAATCAAGGTCCCAGAACATTTGTAATTCCACTATAATGCAATCAAAGTGCTTCAATATACTGAGAAAAGAATGAATTCAACTGCTTAAAAATCCTTCACTGAGAAACTAAGCATGAATTTACTGTGCTTAAGTGAGAAGAGCTGAATGCCACATGAAATTTCTTTTTAAATGGTTATTTTATTCTGAGTAATTGCTTCTTAATTATGCTGTCTTAATTTCCTCACAAATCTGTTCCATCTATACTCACCCAACATTAATATTTATTTTGTTCATTTAATTTTAATGTATTCTTAAATTAAAGCTATTACAAATATTCTGCTGCTGAAGATAATTCAGGATAGGCACTACCATGAAGTTATCATTGAAAACATGAACTATGTTATAGCTGTAATAGGGCTTAAGAATCACAATATTATAAACTATTTTAGTAAATTAAAAATAAGCCATTCTAGAATTCGTTATAAAATCCACTGCTAAATACATCTTGTTTAAACCTCTGTGCTTATTTACCTTGGAATTCTTAACAGTATAGATTTCACATAATGAAAATTATACTTAAGAATCATCCTATGTCAAAATATTTCCCATGTACATATTTTTTTAATATTCTTTCCTTAAAATAAAATCCTCAGCATTTAACCTATACAAGTTGGCCTGCAGAGATCTCATAATTATATTGAACTTGTATCCCATTTAATGTAATATGTAATTACACTGTCTCGTTTCTTTTTAGGTTTGGTAACATTGTAATATGACATTCTGCAAAATGCTCCCACACAATGGGCTCAGTGCAGCAGCAACGCCACTGAGGAAAATTGCAATGGGTTCTTCCGTGGAAAACACCAAATCTCAAAATCCAACACACTAACTAGCTCATAGTTTATTTTCATATCTAAAAGAAGCTTTCAGCTGCAACCTTATACTGTCGGCACATGTTATAGTTTCTCTGCAGTTTTACTTTTAGGAACTATGATAAAGAAAAACAGCATGCCCCAGGGGCATCCCAAATAAACCATTATAAATTCACCTTCTCTTTTGTACTAATTTGGATCAAAAGCAAGGACAAGCCTGTAAGTGCCCTTACACTTCTCAGGTGAAACTTTCTTTTCATATGCCTTCACATAATGTGTCAGAAGCAGAAAGACATGCCATATACATATACTTCTCTTACTTTTCTAACCCAAGAAGTTGCTACCATTGTCACAATATGATCACACTAACATATGAGGTCTGTGTTCTAATAATCAGAAATACTTTTTAATTACATACTTTTCTTTTTTAAAAAATCTTTTTTCTGGACTAAACTCAGGACTGAAACATTATTCTCTGCTTCAGGATTCCCCAGTCTTAACTCATTAATTAACATCGAATGCTTTATTCTTTCTGCGCTCCTGACTTGGTTTTGAATTTGAAGATGTTTCCCCATTCCTTGGCACCTGACAGACTACAATTTACATGTAAGAAAACAACTCCCAGGGAGCAAGAAGCTGCTCCCACCCATCTTAACTGTTCTCTAGGAAACAGACAGGAAATGGGAGTTCAGGAATGGGAAGCAGATTCTGTCTGAAGCTACAGATCAACACAGGTAAATCCAAAGTAATGGAGGCAAGTATAAAAATGAGTATTATTTATTATCTTCTTTATTAATACTCACATATAACCTTTGCTTTTACAGAGAAGTCTACTTTAAATGAATGCCTCCTTGGTTTATTATTCCCAATGGGGCTTTCTGCTCCTGGGCCACTTCCCCTTTTTTTATTCCCTCACCCCACATCCAAATTACGCTACTACATGTTCACAGATACCACAAAAACTTTGTAAACAAGATTTGGGTTACTGGATCTTGATTTAATCAGTATCCCACTTCAAAATGCAGGGCAGGTAGGAGAGAGTGTAAGACCTCGGGGAAAGGGAAAGGGAGAAAAGGCAGGGAGAGGACAGGAAGGCAGCTGGTCAGAACTTTCAAGTCTCGCCTTTTCTGAGATGTGTATTGTGACTGTTCTTGAAATGCAAGACTGGGAACACTGACAGCAAGTGTCTGTGTGGTTATTTATATTATACATCTATAATAGAATATGTGGGCTTCCTCAGCTTGGGTCTGGACTGTTTCTGTTTAAACACACCACAGTCCCCTGTGGGTGGATTGTCTCCCACCTCAACAGTCTTCCTCTGGGTGTCTCCCACCTCCAGTGAGGCCTCCCAAGAAACCCTCAGAGCCGGGGCTTTTGGAGCAGGGTTTTGCTGAGGTCTTTGACTTCCTCGGGGCTATTCACCCTCTGATAGCCCAGCACAGCCATGGGCTGATAGCAAAATTCCTCCACTTGTTTGATCTGCTGAAAGGTGAGGGCAGTCCGCCATGCGTTGGCTGCCTGTGTGGCATTACGGGCAGATACCACAAAAGGCTTGGAGGAGGAGCCCGAACCACTGGTCATGTTCAAGGCAAATTGCTCCATTTCAGGGCTCACCAGCAGTCCCACAAAGTCGTACACCCTCCGTAAGGTCTTGACGGGGTCTCCCACCAGGTCCTCGTACCGCACCACTAGGTAGTGGCCTTGTAGCCAGTCAGGGGGCTGCAGGGCTGTCTGCAGTGTCTTGGCCATGCTGTTGCAGATGACCTCCATAGCGCCAAGTGCATGGTAGTCTGCTGGGCCACCCACACCCTCCTTCTTGGCACCCAGCTTGTGGCCAGCAGCCTCCAGGAATGGCATGCGATGGGCTCTCGGGTCCCGGCTGCGTACCACCTGCAGGCTCTCACGGATGAGACCGTGGCGCGAGCGGATGCGTGAACTGGCCACAGCACGAGGATCACGCACCAGGTGGATGACCTTGAGGTCCAAGGCCGGGTCGCGAAGTAGAGGCGCCAACACGGCCACATCGAAGACACGCACGCCCTTGATGACCAGCGTGTGGTACTTGCGGCACTCTTCTTCGAAGAGTGCCAAGCGTTGGGGTGGACACTTCTTGCACACACGATCGTCCACCAGCCCCACGACCTCTTTGCGATAGGCAGGGCAAAGCGGCGAAGAGCACACGACCTTATTGGTAGCAGCGCCAAAAATGCCCAGTGTGGTGAGGTTGCGACCCCCGCTGCCAGCAGGGCTGTACAGCTGGAAGACTGAGAGGTCACAGCGATAGAGAGCGCTCAGCATGTCCCGCGCTGCCCCTTGCAGAGACACGGCGTCCCCCGGGTACAGTTTTTGCCACACGTGCCACACTGGCTCGTATAGGAAGAATACCTCGGGATTCTGGTTAAAGAGCTCCCCGAAGAAGGACGAGCCCGAGCGCCATGTGGTGAACACGTACACCAACTGCCGTTTTATCTCACCGCCCCTGGAGCTGCGAGTGCTATTGCCGGAAGGGGCCACGGCCCCCGCCTCCACTGCCGGTGCCGCCCCTAGGACAGGGGCAGCGGGGGAGCGGTACGGGGTGCGGGGGTCCAAGCGGGTGTGTGCGCGACGCGACACAGCTGGAGGAGGCCTCGGGCGCCCCCAGCCGTCCCCAGCCACCCCTGCCGCAGCACCTAGCGGCCCGTCGGGACTGCACTGTTGTAGCGGCTCCTTGTGCCACTTGTAGTCCAGGAGGTTGAGCATGGTGAGCACAAGCAGCAGCGCATAGCCTGCGCACAGCACTAGCGCCTTCCTACGGAACACCTTCATTCCGAGGGGCGACGCAGGCCAGTGGCGGCCCGGGCGCCGGGACCTCGGTGGGAGCAAGGCGCGTGCTGCTGCAGGCGCGGCCGGGAGCAATCGGGGAGGCGGGCCGGGGGACACGGCTCCCAGCGGGCTGCGGCTCATCACAGGCTCACTCGGGGTCCACGGCGAGGCGGAGGCGGCCCTGAAGCCCGAGCGGGGGACGCAGAGGGCTGGCTTCGTGCGCGAGGACTGGGGCCGCGGCTCCTAGGCGGGCGCGGCGGCAGCAGCGGCGGCTGGTCCTCGGCGCCCAGGACTGGCTCTCCCATGGCAGCGGCTCCCAGAAAGACCTGCGAGGGTAAGCCGAGTAAACTGGTGCGCCTCAATCCCCCTCCCAGCTACCGCCTCCGCCTAAGTACCACCCATCCTCCAGTCTGCCTGGCTCCCCAGCTCACCTGGAGCCGCGGGCGCGACCAGGAGCGGCCTGGGATCGCGGCTCGGAGGTCTGTCCTGCTGTTGTTATTCGTTCCTCGATTTCTCACGCGCTGTCTTACGCTGGGGGTCCCCGTGCCTCAGGGGGTGCCACGGCATTCGGAAGCCCAAGCCTTGGGCAGTTTCCGGGAAGCGGGCACCCTGAGACTGGGGAAGGGAAACTTTCACCAGGCCAGGAGCTCTCCTCCGCGCTCCGCTGAGCCCCAGGGCGCCCGGACAGTAGCTTCCTTCCGGGCTCCGATGCCCACTGGGGGAGGTTGAGGGGAGAGGGCTTAAACGAGACCCAGCTCTGGGCAAAGCGGCTCCGCCTCTCTCGCTCTTGGCCTCCACGCCCCGACTCTACCCATCTCTCTGGCGGCAGTGGATGGGGCGCACCGCGACCCTGCAGCAGCGGCGGCTTCTTCCATTACGTAGAGGATGCTCTGGCGGGCATAGTCGGCCCCCGCCGCTCCTCAGTTTCCGACTGGCCCGGAAGGATCCTATACACAGAGCTCTCGGCTAAAAAGCGCGGGCCGTAGCTTTCCCTTGCCCGCCCCGATCCTGGCACTAGCCGCTTCAGGCCCACGAGGTATCCGAGCAGAGGAAACCCGCACCGCTGCCGCCGCCCCCGCGCGAAAGGGAAGATGCAGCTATCAGACGCCCCTACACCGAGCGCCTGCAACACGCCCCGGCCAGTCTCGGCGCGGCACCGGCCAGGCGGCTCCGGGTTGGTGCGCGCCGCTGTCTGTCGCTGGGGCTCCTCCCCTTCGCTGCGCTGCCCTCCGCCGCGGGTCCTGCGCCCGCCCCCTCTCAGCGCCGCCGCACCGCTCTGAGGTCTGGAGATGTGGGCCAGGATTTACTGCGGGGCTGCTCTGGTGGCCATCGCGCGAGGGAGGCCTCAACCACGCGTGCGCAGAGCTCCGGGCGCGGACGCGAGGTTCGCAGCGCGGGGGCGCCCGGGCTCTAGGTAATTTGGATTCTCCGTGCAGCTGCCAGGCTCATCTGCACATTTTTGCTTTCTGGTAAAGTAGAAATCCCCCAGCGACCGCCCACTCTGCTCTTCTTTAGGGGTCGGAACCTCCCGACCCCTCCGGAAACCCAGGGCGCACCCGCGCGGAAATGCGAGGCCGCAGAGCGCCGCCCTCAGGCTTTCTACTCACGGCTCTCGGGTTCTGCTGGCCTGAGGTTTCTCCCTCACCGAGGAAGTAATAAATCTTTTTGACCCCGGGATCAAAGAAGACGTCTTCCAGGGACTGTACAAGCAGTGTCTTCGCCAGGCTTTCCTCCACCAATGGATAGGGACTCCGGATTTATATGCTCCAGCAGATGCTCTCCCCATCTCAGCTTGGAATGCTGAGATCACTGTGACTGACGCCCTTGGGAATGGGGGTGCAGGGAGGTGTTTTAATTTACAATAAAATACTTGTCTTGCTTCTTGGTCTCAAAGATGAGATCAAACGATTTGGCGCTAAAGGAAACACCGTTTTTGAAGTAGATCATTTTTTAGTTACTTTAATATTTTCTTTAAAGATAATGAGAAAATCCTTCTCTCTCTCTTTCTCTTTCTCTCTCTCTCTCTCTCTCTTTCTCTCTCTCTCTCTCTCTCTCTCGACCAAGCCATACCTCAATTTCATCTGTAAAACGGGACAATTGCAATAGCCTTTAGTAACTGAAGGTGATGGGGTGTTCAATGCCCAGTTTATTAGACCCCAGTTGAAGCCTTGGCAGAATCGTGAGGAATCCAGAAGCTTGTGGGCCAGTAAATGCTGGCGATCTGGAGGCATTTTGTTTGCCTCCTGTCCTAAGGAGTTTTTAGAAGTTTGAAAAAGTTAACACAAATTTATTTTTGTATATTTTGGACAGCCTCTTTCAATCAGAGGATAAAATGTTACTGTTTGCAACATTATTCTTCAGTTAGTCTTATAGAATCTTCTAAGTGCAAGGACTTTAAAAGGTGACTTAATTCATATCGGTGTTCAGGGTAGAAAAACGTTCAAAGAACTTGACTTAACCCCATTTTCCAGAAAAATTCATTATGCCACCAGCAGAGTTCATATAATTTCCCCCCTGTGGTCCTGATAAAGTGAAAGGATGAGGCTTCCTATGACAGACTTTATGCAGATAGAGAGAGTCTAGTAGAGCTGGAATTTTATATGCAGCTTTCTCAAGTAGCCCAGCATTCCCCCTGGGATCCCGTCAAGACAGGCATACGTTTTTAATCCCTATTTACAGATGAAGATGGTGGAGTTAAATTGAATGATTTCCATCTTTTCATTTCTGGACCCACCTGCCTCCCTTCACAGTACTGTCTCAAAAGTCCCTACCCTGTCTTCCCTCTACCCTTCCCCACAAAAACTAAAGTTGTGTTGGTGCCTTAAAAGACAGATCCCGCCCTAGCCGGACTGGCTCAGTGGATAAAGCATCGGCCTGCCTACCAAAGTTTCCAGGATTTGATTCTGGTTGAGGGCATGTATCTTGGTTGCAGGTTCTCCCCAGCCCAGGCCCTGGTCAGGGCCATGCAGGAGGCAACCAATCTATGTGTTTCTTTCAGATCGATGTTTCTCTCTGTCTTTCCCTCTCTCTCCTACTCTCCCTAAAAACCAATGGAAAAATATCCTTGGGTGAGGATTAAAAAAAAAAAAAAAAAAAAAAGGACTGATGAAAGAGAGGGAGTTGAAGAGGAAAGAGCACCTCAATCTTAGTATTCAGCGTGATTCCAAGCAAAATTACTTCTAATACTTCTAAGTTAGTCTCCAGCTTTGTGATTGCTTGAAAAGCACACAAATTGCATTGTTTGATGTAAGGACCCTTTTTAAACAATTGTTTGCATAGAAGCAATTTTGTAATACTTTACTACAGTTGGAAAAATAGTAAATCCATTTGCCAGACACCCTACAATGAATGCTCAGCTGACATCAATTTATAGGTTCCCGAATCTCCACCCTCTCCTTACTAGCAAACTTTTCACCATTTTTGTTCAGAAATTGCTTTCTTTTTAATCCACTTATCCTTATAGCATGGTGATGACCTAGACATATATTAAGTCCCATAGTAATTTCATTGGCAGAGGACCGTCATGCCACAGGGCTGTCTTTAATTCAGCTCTGTTTCAGGATGCCTCTTCACTCTCCTCTGGTGTCTGGAAACTACTGTTGGAAAAATTATGTGGCTTTTTCCTAACTCCCAACAAATAGGGAGCTAATATTGGGGGGTGCTATAGGCCCAGCATTCAACCTGTGGAATACAGCAGAGAGATCTTTCAAGACCTTCATAGTCTGAATTGGGAGAATATGTAAGACTGAGCCCAGTCAGCATGGTTCAGTGATTGAATGTTGACCTATAAACCAGGAGGTCACGGTTGATTCCCAATCAGGGCATATTCCCCGGGTTGTGGGCTCGATCCCCAGTGTGGGGCGTGCAAGAGGCAGCCAATCAATGATTCTCTCTCATCATTGATGTTTCTATCTCCCTCTTCCTTCCTCTCAATAAAAATACATATTTTAAAAAAGATATAAGACTGAGTTGACTGGACAGTTCCCATCAAGGCTTGTCTGTGTTGCTGGGGACCTGCAAGATTCACCTTTGGGGAGTATCCTCCCCTGGGCACCAAGATAGATTCAGTCACTCATATTTTCAGCAAATAATGCATTTTCAATGGAAACTGAATACACCAAATTGGATTAATCATAATTCTTGATTTAAAACACGCTGTCATCATTAGGTCTGTGGTGGACCTTTTACATTTTACATGATTTTAAATAATATATTGAATACATCAATCCATCATAGAACACAAAAACTCCAGATGTAATTACTATAATTAATTTTGTTCAAAAATTTAAATGAAATGGTCAAGTTCCAAGGGTAGGGGAGGACTTTCCTTACCTATCCAAAAAAAAGAAAAGAAATAGCCTGAATAGTCTTACAATTATTAAGAAAATGGAGCAGTCATGTAAAGTCTTCCCATAAGAAAAACAACAGGCCCAAAGGGCTTTAGTGAGAGTTCTGCCAGCCTCAAGGGCTAGATAATTTCTATCTTATACAAACTCTTCTAGAGAATGGAAAACAAGGAATGTTTCCCCAACTCAGAATAACTAGATAGAAAATAACCAGAGAGGGATTTCAGAGTAGGAAATCCTTTCCACTGATTAATATATACATAAAACTCCTAAATAAAATTTCAACAAAACAAATCTAATTGAGTGTGGGAATAAAGACTACACTACAACTAAGTTGAGTTTATTCTAGGAATAAAGTACCTTAATACTAATAAATATTTATTGAGCACCTATAAGGTGCCAGCTGCTGATCTAACTCTTCAGGATGCAGAAGTGAAACAGACAAGCCTGGTCCCTACTCTCATGGAATCTACACTCTAATGCAGGAGACATTCAGTAAACACACACATTTAAACAGATAAGATTATTTTAGAGAACAGTAAGCACTATGGAGGAAATACTATATATCAATTTGCAGAGAGTGACTGGAAGCATCTATAAATTGGGGAGGTGACTCTTGCATAGAATAAGGAGGCAACCTAGTGAAAACAGGGAGGAGTATGCCATGCAGATAATACAGCAAGTGCAGAAGCCCTGAGCTGGGGGGGTGAGGTTGCCATATTTAAAGAATAGCAAGAGGATAAGTTGGGTTGAGCCCAGGGAGAGAGATGACTATGACCACCTAACTGAGATGTGTCCTGGTTTGTAATACCTGAAGGGGTATCCTTAATTTTAGACTTTAAAAAGCAATTTGTTAATGTGCAGAAAAAGGATATTATGGGAGAAGTGTGCTCTCAGGAAGTGGGCTTATTTCAAGAACTTAACTAGCTAATTATCAAATGTGTCACCCTGGTGTTATCATTTTGAGCCCCACTTTCCTCCCCAGACTCACCTAAACATGCTCCACCTTTCAGCATCTTCACCTCTTTTTAGAGTTAGCTCAGCTGTTTACTTCCTGCCCCGCCCCCACCCCCCCAAGCCTTAAAGGTTGGCATGCTTCTTTCTGAAGTTTTTCTTCTAGAAATTAGTAGATGTCTAGAGCTATGCAACCAGGAGATGTTCCCCACCATGACTGGAGACATCACTTTCTCTAATCCACCAGCCATTTCTTTGCTGCCTGTAACAGGCATTTCTGGGATTCTGCTTGCCCCCCATACATTCGCCACTGTGTCTGAACCACCCTACCCTATTGTATGTGGCTTTGGTGAGACCTTTGGCAGAGATACCCTCCCTTCCTCTCCTCACAGGGGTCATGTATGTGATCCAGGCTAACAAATTAGATGTTCTCTCCATGAAAGTTCCATCCATTCCTTCCTTCATTCAATCTATGTATTGAGCTCCTACTGTGTGCCAGGCAATGTGAATCTTCATTAGAAAGACCAAAAGATGGAAAACAGTTGCTGTTCTCTCATTCCAACAGTGGAACCCTAGAGAGATCTCCCATTCTTTTTTCAGAAGGGACCCTGTCCCTTGTAAACCTATTATGTGCTTTTTCTTTAGATTCTGTGAGCTGCTCCAAATGCATCCATAAATTTCTCCCTTCTCCTCCATTAAATTCATCAGAGCCAGTTTCTATTACTTACAACCAAAAATTCCTAGTTGACATAGTGGCTTACTGCCTAAGTATAGATTTGGTTTCATCCATGCTTTGTCTTTGTGCCTTATTCTCCCTCCGCCTACATCATAAAGTAAAACAGTGCTTTCACTTTTGAGTTCCCACCTTTAAATTATAGTATCTAACCAGCTGGTGACCATAAGGAACTTCA